AAGGTCACCCTGCTCACTGCTCCCACCCTGCAGAGCCCCACGGTGAAGGACCTCATTGGATTCGGGCTGCAGGTGGCCCTGGGCATGGAGTACCTGGCCCAGAAGAAGTTTGTGCATCGGGACCTGGCAGCCAGGAACTGCATGTGAGTGTGGCCATGCCCACTGGAGCCCCGCCATGGGGTCACCCCATGGGCCCAGGGCTGGGCATGGGGGCTGCTGCCTGGTGGCCTCCCTCCCCAAAATGTATCCCACAGGCTGGACGAGACACTGACGGTGAAGGTGGCTGACTTCGGGCTGGCACGGGACGTGTTTGGCAAGGAGTACTACAGTGTCCGGCAGCACCGCCACGCCAAGCTGCCCGTCAAGTGGATGGCACTGGAGAGCCTCCAGACCCAAAAATTCACCACCAAGTCAGATGTGGTAAGCACAACCACCATCCCCACCCCCTGACCCCCATCTCCATCCTGCCCCGCCGTGACTTTCTGCTCCACAGTGGTCCTTTGGTGTGCTCATGTGGGAGCTGCTGACGCGGGGGGCATCGCCGTACCCTGGAGTGGACCCCTACGACATGGCGCGCTACCTGCTGCGGGGGAGACGCCTGCCACAGCCCTGCCACTGCCCTGACACCCTGTGAGTGGCGCTGGGGGGTGGGCAGGATGGGTCCCGGGGGGCTACCGGCACTGACGGGGGTGTCCGGGCAGATACGGGGTGATGCTGAATTGCTGGGCGCCAGCACCTGAGGAGAGGCCATCCTTCACGGAGCTGGTGGGCGAGCTGGAGCATGTCCTGGCCACGCTGGAGGGTGAGCACTACGTCAATCTGGCTGTCACCTATGTCAACCTGGAGCGTGGCCCCCCCTTCCCTCCTGCGCCCCTGGGGCAGCTGCCCAGTGGTGAGGATGAGGATGAGGATAATGACCACGAGGAGGAAGAGGAGGAAAAGGAAGAAGAGGAGAAGGATGCAGCCGTGTGTTGATGGGGTGCCCTGCACTGTGGGGGCTCCTGGACCCCCATACACTGTGGGGACACTCGCCCTAGGAGGGATGCAGCGTGCAGCAGGTGCTATGGGGCACCCTCCCTATGGGATGGGTGCTGGGAGGCAGCTGGGTGCTGTGGGTGCTCTCCCACAGCACACACCCAGACTCTGCTGGGTGCTCCCCAGGCTTGGTCCCACACCACGGGGTGCCATGGGGCTCAGTCCTGCACTGGCTGGGTGCTGGGAGGCTCCGCCCCACAGTGGTGAGGCTGTGCTGTGGGGTCTGGGGCTCAGCCCACAGCAGCAGGGTACCAGGGGCCCCAAGCTCAGCCCCCTGGCCCTGAGGCTGTGCTGTGGGGCCCCAGTTCAGCCCCAGTGAGTGCCATGGGGTGGCCTGACCCACCCACGGGTCCCATGGGGTTTCCAATCCCTCGACTGCTCAAATCGCTTATTAAAACCTAATTATATTTTTTCCCAGGCTGAGGCTGGGTCTTCAAGGGGGGCCATGCCGTGGGTTGGCAGCACCCCTGTCCCCCTGCGTGGGGGGAGCTCCCTGTTCCGGTTCCCCACGCCCTCCGGGGGCACCCACCTCGTGGGGGGCGCGGGTGAGGGTGCACCCACCGTTCCCGTGCCAGCCACGGGAGGGCACCTGCACACCGGTGCTGGCGTGGCCACCTCGAGCACCATCTCCCAGTGCCCACCACACCGGGCCAACCTACGCGCCCTGGGTCCCACCCCTGTGCTTGGGGGGGGGGACACAGGCATCTAGGAGGTGATGTCAGCACCAGGCAAAAGGAGTTTTCTAAAAATCCCCCTCCTGGCTGCCTCCAGCCAGAGCCCACAGCCCTGCTCACCAGTGATCCCAAACAGCAGCGGGTGCCAAGCTGTGCCCCCTGCCTCTGCCCCCTTACCTGGGCAGTTGGGGGCCATGGCAGGGAGGTGATATCTCGCTGGTTACAGCCCTTTCCACCCTCTTCAGCTGTGGCTAAATATAGCCCCAGCAGCTCTGCCGGCAGCTCTGCCAGTCAGGGTGGGCTCTGCCAGCTGAGTGGGCTCGAGGCACCCACCTGGCTGCATGGCTAGGGTGGGCCGTGGGGCGTGAGATGGTGTGGGGGGTGCCATGCTCTTGGGCAGGGGGTGATGGTGCCCCTGGGATCCTGCTGCTGGGGGTGTGGGTCACGGGATGATGGTGCCCAGGGTCTGGGATCACAGTGCCCCCTGGGATAACGGTGGTCCTGGGATGATGGGTGCCTGGGCATGGGATCAGGGTGCTGGTGGGATCACGGGTGCCTGGTGGTGGGATCACAGTGCTGCTGGTGTCACGGAGCCCAGGGCATGGGATTACAGTGTCCCTGGCACTGAGGTGCCCGTGAGACCACGGGGCCCAGGACATGCAATGACAGTGGCAGACACAGTGGCACCCAGCCCACAGTACCCGCCAGCACCTGGTTTTGAGCACTGCTGCCCACCCTGCCTGACAGCACAGGGTCCTGGTGTGGGACATGCTGGACGGGGCTTGGGGCTGCTGCGTGGTGACCAAGCATTGTTACCAGCCTCACTTAATTACACCCTAATTGCTTCAGCCACTGCCTGTGCAGGGGACACAGTGCAGCTCGTGCCTGAGGCTGGCACTGGGGCTGCCCAGGAGCGGGGCAGAGCAGCTGAGCCCCCCGCTGATGCTCACTGCAGGTTGCACCAGCTTTCACCACTCCTTTTGCTGGCAGTGGTGGCAAATGTCACATCTGCAAGGAGCTCATACTGATGAGGAGGTCCCCTCTGCCCCAATTTTAAGGCAAAAATCCCCTGGAACAAGGCACTGGAAAAGAGGAGGAGGCCGGTAATGGATGTCACCCCTGAGTGCATGTCCAGAATTTGTGGTGGGGTGAAGGCAGGGTTTGGGGATGGGTCGGTGGTCAGCGGATGCTCAGAGTGAGTCCAGCAGGGGATGCTGAAACATGTCCTGGCCCTGTGGCCACAGGCAGCTCTGCTCCCTGGTCCGTGGCTGGACACGAGGGTCCTGCAGCCAGCGCCAGCTTTAAATAAAACCTCCTTGGCTGCTCATTAAGCAGCGCCGGAGCCCGGGGCCGCGTCAGGTCCCATCAGCCAAGCTGTCCATCTCCACCAGCACCTCGCACCTGCACGGCTCTGCCGCCGCTTGCGGGAGGATATTTTTAGTGCAGCTCGGTCCTGGCACCCCGCAGTCAGGGGATCTGCTGGGACAGTGCCTCAGTTTCCCCACGGTGGGGCCACGCTGCTCTCCTGGCCCAGGTTTTGGGGTGGCCGTGCCCCCCTGTGCGGGTGCCAGCCCTGCCTGCGGGAGGCCAAGCAGCGCCTTTTCGGCTACGCTGCCGTGTTGCTGTGGCAACAGGAAGGGCTCAGCACCGCATGATTATTAGGGCTGGATCAGAAATGTGAGGTGCTGGGGGATGCTGGGTGCTGGGGGTGCAGCTGGGGTGACTGGGACACCGCCAGCAGCCAGGACGCAGGGATGGATGAATGGATGGATGGATGGATGGAAGGATGGATAGGCACCCTGGGTGTTGCCCTCCTCAGCACAGGGCAGGGTGGGTGCCCAGGGCTGTGTCTGGGTGACAGATGGGTGCCAGGCTCACTGTCCTGCAGCACGGGGGGCAGCCCTGGGGACACCCCACGTGAGCAGGACTGTTAGTGCCCCACGGTGGGGCGGCACAGAGAACTGCTTGTTAGCTAATGAGGTTTGCATGGCTATGATGACGTGGGTGAGGAGGGCCCCTGCCTTAGGCTGTCCCCCCCTCCCCGCAAATGCATTTGCGGAGATGACAGATTTCATGCTAATACACATTTATCCTGCCCTAATTATGCTGCAGGAGGTGAGGAGTGAGTGCCCGGCCTTCAATGCATGCCCCTGCCTGCCCCTGCCTGCTGCTGCCAGCCAGGATCGGCGTTGGTGCCACACACAGTGCCACGGCACAGGGGACGGGCAGGGGGACCTTGCAGGGTGGCATCTCGCACGGCACCAGCACCCCTGCCCCAGCTGGGGGGGTCTTAGAGGTGCTGCCAGGACACGGGTGGGCACCCAAGGATGGGTGCTGGGTAAGTGGCACCCTGAGGTGCTGAGCACGGTTGGTGGAGCACCTGGTTGAGCTGCAGGCTTGTGCGGCCGTGCTGTGCTGTGCCAAGCCATGCCATGCCGTGCCATGCCGTGCCGTGCCGTGCTGTGCTGTGCCCACCGGCTGCGGCAGAGCATCCGGCGTCCCGCCCCGGCAGCGCGCCTTGCACACACAGCACTTTAAATGTTTTATTTGGGGAAAGTGCTGTCGTTAGCAGGGATTAATTATTAAAATCAGAGCCATCTATAAAACATGAGTGGCCGTGTGCGGGGCTGCGGGAGCACAGGCAGAGCTGGGGACATACTGCGACGGCGACTGACGGTGCCACCGCAACGGCTCCTTGCGCCCGCGGCGGGTTTGGGCTTCTCGTGGCACAGCGGGTACGAAGGCCGGGTGCGGGCGACGGGTGCCCCCCGGGTGGGCAATCTGCCCCGCTTTTACCTCCGCCACAGCCCACCGGGCAGCCAAGGCTGGGGGCTGGATTGGAAATGGGCAAAATTGTGGCAAATCAGTGTTTGAGCAGCGCGGTGGTCTCTGGCGTCAGCCGGCCGGGCGAGGTGGCAGGAGGCAGCAGGCAGCACCGAGCTGTTTTTAGCGGCTGCCGGCGCGCTGGGGAGCGGGCGTGAAGAGCGGCTGCCGCGGCGCCATTTTTAGAAACTGGCAAGTTTTGCTAATGATGCTTGTGAGTGGGGGGGAGGGCTGCCCGCACCCCGGCCCCCCCCGGCCCCCGCTGTCCGTACCCTGAACAGGCTGCATGCCCAGCCCCGGCAGCCAGCCCTGTCCCCCTGTCCTCCCCACCTGGTTCTGGCACCCGCACCTGGGGGTACCCTTGCACCCATCTGGGGCTCTGCTGGCCCCCAGGGAGCTTTGGTAACTCTTGGGAAGTTTTGGTGGACCCTGGGGATCTCTGCTGCTCTCTCAGAAGTTTCAGCAGTTCTTGGGGAGCTTTGGTAGAACTTGTGGAACTTTGTTGGCCTCTGGGGAGCTTTGGTAGCCCCGGGGGAGCTCTGCTGGTCCCCTGGGAGCTTTTCTTTACCCTGAAGACTTCCAGCCTGTAAGGCACATTTTCTTATTCTTTTTCTGCCCCTGAGACAGCACCCACCTCAGCCAGGGAGGCTCACCCCATCTCAGCACCCCATCAGGACCTGTGCCAGCCATGTCCTGGTTCCAGTCCCATGCCTGGTCCCAGTCCTCTCCCTGGGGACCACACTCTCCCAGCAAGGAGCCCCCCTCGATTTGCACATGAAACTCCTTGCCCTCAGGAGTCTCCCCACGCCCTAGTCCCTACAGCTGCTGATACTGCCCCAGGGAGACTTGGAGCACTCCCAATGGTCTTCAGTGGGAAGGGGAACCAAATCTTGATGTCATGGGTGATGTCACCACCTTGATGCAGGCAGTTGCTATGGTGGTCGAGCCCCATCCCATAGGCAGGCTCTGGGGTCCAGAGCCAGCCCTAGATGCGATGGGGACCAAGTCAGTGGAGAGGTACAAGGCTTTGTGCACTGTCATTACTGACACAGGGACAGGCCACACCAGGAGCGGGCTGGCCAGGGATGAGCAGCCGCAGTCGGTGGTGCCCAGATAGGTGGGGAGCGGCCCTGTCCTCACCCACGACGTGGTCACCAACTGGGACAGGCTGGAGGAGCTGTGGTACCATGTCCTCTAGCAGGAGCTGGGCACCTGCCCCAAGGAGGTGGCGGTGCTGGCCACAGACAACCCACTCCCCCCATTGCCAACTGGGGGGAGAAGGTCCCCGAGCTGCTCTATGAGGGCTTCGGGGTGCTGGCTGTGCTGGTGCTGCACCACTCCCTGCTCGCTCCCTACTCCTGCAGCCGTACTGCTGGCGTGCTGGGGGGCTCCGGTGCTGGCTCCTCCTACATGGCAGGGGTGCGGGAGGGCTACGCACTGCCCCCATGCCACCTTCCTCCTGGACATGGTCAGGGACACCCTCACCCTCTACCTGGGCTGGCTGCTGGGGTCCTGTGGGGTCCACCTGGGCACTGTGCCCCTACGCGGCTTGAAGGAGACGCTGATGCATCCTGCTGGGGGGCGCCTGACCCTCACCCTGCCCATCGCCTCGGGGCTGCTCCTGGGGAATGGGCAGTTCCGCTGCCCACCACCACCCTGGGGCTGCTGGGGCTGGGACTGCTGGAGCAGGCGGCGTGCAGCCTGTGCCACTGCAGGGGCCCCTCCAGCTACCCCCCTGCCTCGCCTGCTGCTGCTGGGGAGCACCATGCTGCTGCACAGGTTCCTTTAGTGCCTGGCCACCGAGCTGGGAATCCCCAGTGAGGCTGCCCCCCACCACTGCCTGGCCACCCGGCTGGGTGGCTCACTGGCTGCCTCCCTTGACACCTTCCAGGGCACATGGGTGCCATGGGACACCTACAGGGAGTGAGTGTGGCCCTGCCGCCATGCACGGCTGCTGCTGCTGACCCCAATAAAGGGCTAGGAGTGGCAATCGGTGGCTGTGTCCCGTTTTTTCTCCCCCCCCCCTCTACCCAGCCCCCCAAAAGGAGGGATGGGGTTTATTTGGCCCCGTTGCCGGGCCGACGCGCGCAATTATCGCTGATTGCCTGGCGGTTGCCATGGCAATGGTGAGCACGCAGGGATGCTGTGCCGCGTGGCGCTTGAGTCACGGACACGCTGCGCCCCCCCCGCTGCACCCCACTGCACCCCACTGTGCACCCTCTGGCACCAAGCTGCCAGGCCCTGCTCCCCCTCCTCCCCACCTGGGGCAGAGGGGTACAGCCGGCTGTCCCCCACCCCATGTCCCCCCACCAGAGGCGGAGGGGGAAGTCTGGATGCCCCCAGCCCCGGCAGTCCAACCCCAGGCAACCTGGGCTCACTCACTCCAGGGTTCCTGCGGGAAGTGTCACCGTGGGGCAGTGGGAAGGGTGGTGTGTGCACGGCGCACTGGGTGCATGGGGTGGTGGGTACCGGAGGCAGTGGGTATACAGGGTAGTGAGTGCACAGGGCAGTGGATGCACAGTGTGGGGGGTGCACAGGGAGGTGGGACAGGGCACATCAGGGACAAATGCCACTGGGCTCAGCAGAGCCGATCACCCCCAAATGAAGCAAGATCTGAACGAGAGATGGGGCCAGGAGGGGACCAGGGGGCAGTGACAGGACCCCTGGGCAGTTCTGCCGTGGGTAGGAGGCTGGTGCCAGGAGGCAATGGGTGCGAGTCAGGCCGAGGGGCGCTGGAGGACCACCGGCCTGTCCCTTGCTCTGCAAGCCACCACTGGGCAGTCCCGAGCCACGCCAAGCACTGGCCGGATAATTGTGAGTTACGGTCCAGGTTCCCACGAGGTGCAAAGATTAATAACTGTGCCACGCTGCTGCCAGACAGTATGATTAAACTCTTGATTAGAAGCTCAAACTACAGTGCCCTGCTAATTCCCTGCTCTCACGCACCGTTAATTACCCGGCGCAGGTGGCGGTGGGCCCGGGGCTTGTGTGGCTCGGTGCCGTGCAGGCGATGGCTGCAGAGGGTGCCCCGGGCTGCCTCTGCATGCTGGCTGGTCTCCCTGTGTGCAGAGCGGGAACGCTGGCTTTGGGGACAGGAGCCTGGTGTCCCCTGTCGATGGGCCTGCCTGACCTGGGCTCGGGGGGCTGTGGGCCATGGGAGAGGATGGCCACATGCCCGCGGCAGCTCAGGACAGCGTGGGCCGGGGGGTTTTGGGGAGCTGAGGTTTGTCAGGTGCAGGGCAGGGGGGAGGGGAGGAGAGGAGAGGGGAGGAGAGACGAGGGGAGGGGAGAAGAGGGAAGGGGAGGGGGTGCAGCTCGGAAGCGGCACCATATGGGCCGCAAATGCCAGCACGCAGCACGCAGCCGTGCGGGAGGCTCGGCACACGCGACTGCGCTGCGTGAGGAGTGAGGGGCTCTGTAGCCTGGAGGAAGGGGCTGGGGTCCTGCTGGGCCTTGGGGCCATGTTGCCCACCCCAGGCTGGGCACCATCCCTGGACTGTGAGCAAAGTTAAGGGTATCAGGGTGGCCAATTTGTTGCCCCTTTCTTGCCCCTTGGCCCGGGGCGTGGGGCACAGACAATCCCTGCATGAGGGGGAGTGAGCAAGGCCTTTGGCCCCACGGCTGGGGAAGGAGGATGAGGGAAGTCACCTGGTTCCCTCAGGATCACGACGTGGAGGCAGGACCGTGTGTCCACCTTTGTCTTCATGGCGCCTCTTGGTGCTCTCAGGGGACAGACGCTCGTGACACTGAGCCCACACTCAGCACTGCTAATAACCTGTTCCCGTTCCACCCCATTCCGCCCCATCCCGGCCCATCTCGGTCCGTCCAGGGCTGGTGGCCATGGCCCAGCTCACCCCAGTGCTTTTGGTCCTCACCCCCCAGTAAGGCGTGCTGGGACACCCGGGCTGCCCCGGCTCTCGAGGCTGGGCAGGACAGGGCCAGTGAGGCACAGCCCCCCCCCAGGCGGCCAGGCCACCTCCTGGGGTGAGGAGCTCCTACAAGGACAGTGGGGGTGGCCTTGGGGGACGTGGGCTGAGCAGCTCCACCTCACCCGGCCCGGCCCAGACGGACTGGAGCAGGCCGCGGGGACCATGAGTGTTTATCTGCCCCTCGAGCTGCTGCCACGTGGGTGATGGCGTGGGGTCCCTGGGAGTCCCGTGGGGTCCCCGAGGCGTGGCAACGTCCCAGCCCCGTTC